GCCGGAGGTTAATCCCATGTTGGTCTGATTTCACTGTTTTTGTTTGGACTCTGCTGTTGCATCATCAGGAAACCTGATGCACAAAAATGCCCCAAATTAAAACCTCCAAGTTGAAACTCATCTCTAAATACTTTCCAGAACCGTGTATGAACCCGTAGAGGAAGCGGGTCTCAGGAGGAAGACTTCTGATTTGTTAGTAAATAAATCAGAAACTATTTGTCCACACATTGAACGAAAACATTTCAGTAGAAAGTTTAGTGGAAGGAAAGATGCAGACACAGCACAGGAGTCTGAAGCTCACCGTTGTGCTGGAAGTCCGGATGTCTCAGCGTTCCCTGGATCCCATGCTGCGGCGGCGAGCCCAGAGGGGGCGGGGCTGCTGGGGAAGGAGGCGCCTGCTTCGTCCTGATTGGTTGAGGCTGAGGGCTGGGCGTCTGCTGGTTGGTAGGAGGGGGGCTTAAAGACACGGGGCTGTTCTCTGGCCACGCCTCCTTCAGTTTGACCGGCTTGTTGACGCCGACCTCTGACCCAAACTCTGTTGAAGCGAATTTCTGGCCAGATAAAACGTCACATGACCCTTTATTGTGTGACATCATACATAAAAAATGTTTTATTAGAACCAAGTTACCTGTTTTTGTTTGATAGGAGAAGAATCATCCCTGTTGGTCGATTTTCCAACAAGTATAGCTCCCCCTGGAGGGCAAACAGGGCATATGTTTGGTGGTAGAATACGACTGAAAAACTAAAATGAAATGGATACAAAGGAAGTAATTATTAAAATACCAACAGGACGTCTGCAGAAGTTTGACTTGGATGAATTTTAATGCTGATACACATGAGGGAGAGCGGCGCTGCATGTACGAGCCTCAACAACGGAAAGATGTCAGATCTGAGTTCATGCTGCGATTTTAACTCATCGTGGATATTTAATTATGGGTTGGAATACATATGTGCTGACCAGATTGCTCCAAAAGAGCAGGGCATTCTGGGTAACGTTGAAAAAATAACATTTTGCAGTTGCGATCTTTCCATCAAATAAGAAATGTGATTAAAATCACATGTGAACTAGTTAGTTCATGTGATAAGTGAACTAACCTCTTCTTTGTCGTCTCCAGCAGTAGTAACATCTGGCTGTTGATCATGTGACCCGTACGATTAAAAAATAGTTTCCATTGCAGTTTTGCAAAATAAATCAACTTCTCATTCCAGCGCAAAAACTTTTCATCTAAAATTGAGAGTTTAAAAAAAAATGAAGCGTTTCCATAAGATACATTTATTTTCAAAATGTCAAATTGTGCAATGATATTGTTAATGGAAACCCATCTGCTGCCATGCCCTCTGCATGTATGAAACCTTCTGTTATGCAGTGTGACTGCTTATTGCATTGCGATGTTTTATCACTACTGAAGGCCGTATGAGGAAAAACGTCCAATATTAGCTCAACAGTTTCTGCAGAAGTCAGTTCAGCGTTTGCTGCATCTGAGCGCGCTGCGAGGAAGTGGTTTATTAATTGCAGTGAGCACAATAAAGGGAGGAAATGTTGCACGTTTCTGCAGGAAAAGAGCATCCTTCAGAGAACAAACAGCAGAAGCTGCAGTCGATCTGCTCTACCAGCTAGCAGAAGTGTCATTTCTTTTCTGAGCCGTTTTCTCGGAAAGTTTTCTAGGTCTTCTGAGGTCTTTGAGACCTCAGCTTGACCTCTGATCTTCCTGGAAACACTCGACTCTGTCAGCTGCAGATGCAGCTTCTTAAAATGGCCAAAGCTGTAAGAACTTTGTCTTTAACTCTACACCAGGATTGCATGTAATTTTTCCCTTGTTGGAAATGAGAAACGTTGAGGTGGATTAAAGATTAGCATCGGGTTTTACAGCGCTGGGTGGTTTCCGTGTCCTGCAGGTACGTTTACCTGTGGCAGGTGTGGTCAGGTCGTGGTGGGTCCTCTGCACCGGCCTCGTTCTCAGTCTGGGAGTCGGTAACCTTCCCTCCTCTCTGAAAACACACAGTTGGTTCCTGAAACCAGAGGTGGCTTTGATCTGACTTTCACACTTCTGACACACTTTCTGTCAGTGCTGGAGATTATCTTCAGGCAAAATAGACTCAAGTTACAACTGCTTAATTAAAACACTTCAAAACAAAGTCAAGAATATAAAACTGCTATCAGAGAAAGAAAAAACCGACTCCTCCGTCTCTTCTTCTTCTTCTGCCCAGGCTGTGTGGCACTCAGCTCCGGGTCCTGGAGGCGTTTCCCTCCCAGCGCTCCTCTGAGTTTTTCCTCCGCTGACTGACGACCTCCTGCTGGACATACTGGAGAACCAGGCAGAAACCAGTTCAGGTCAGAGGTCAGATCAGGTTGCAGCCTCCTGCCTACAGCTGGGCAATATGGCTAAAGAATAAAAGCTCACATTTCTTTTATTTACACTGAATCCAATTTTAATCCGTTTTTTTGTTCTCTACAAATGAAATTATTTTCAAGAAGTGGTTTTATTTCAATCATCTCTTTTGTGAGTCGGACAACTGAGCATCGGGATTAATTATGAGAATATATTCAGAATATAAGCAGAAAAAAGGCACAATTTTACCAGAAAAACTTTACAATACAAAGTGTTTTTATTGAACAAAAAACCCTTTTTTAATCAGGATGGGATGCGAACAGCTCAGTTCATACAGATCTTTGTTCAAAATAAACTCTTTGTTTGCAGGATTGAGTCAAAGTCCTGCTGCTGATACATTGATGCTGGTGTGTTAAAAGAATAAGCATTTCTTATGTGTAAAACTTATGGAGCCTGTTGCATGTCATTGTTTACCTTTGGAGATTCTGCGCATGCGAACGACGCTGGATGGCAAAAAGACGATTAACAAAATGAAACCTGGAGATGAAGGCATTAATTTACTGCAGTGTGTCACTGCAAAGGGAGAAATAACAACTCAAAGCCACTTTTTTCTCCCTCTCTGTCAGCTACACCACACCTGTTGGTCCAGCTGTCCTATTGTTGACAATCAGTAGCAAAGCACTGCGTCCCTTTTTATTTTATATATCAGCGCATTTAAGATTTAGCAGAGAAAGTTAGCTGTTCTGCTAGCTAAAACCAAAGCTAACATCATCTGCTAGCAGTTTTTTGCCCTCTTGCAGAGAGATGGGGCAGGATTTTGTGCAGTTTTGTTGCGACGGCTCCATACCAAAATATAACTTCACAAGATGCTCCACATGCCTCATTTTTGTGATTCTGTATGTTGGCGTTTCCATAAGATTCTCATTTCATTCTCATAATTAGAAGAAAATCAAAGTACTCTAGTCCTAATATTCTGTCATAGAGTTGACTTGAATTCAAAGTCCAAATAAATAGCAGCTGTAAAACAAGATGGCCGCCCTGGGTGTGATGACATCACTTTGAGGACTGCATTGGTGGGGAAAAAAGTCCAGATTTTCTCTAAATTAATCGCTAAAATCGATTTATCGCCCGGCTCCACTCCCGCCTGCATCGCTCCTCACCTGGCCAGGTCCAGGGCTTCTACACAGGAAGCTCTGCGGCTGTCCGGCTCAGGTGAAAGGTCACGGTTGGGCAGCGGGGTGGAGGGGTCGGAGTGGGAGTCGGCGGGCTCCCACAGCGCGTTGTGTTCGGACAGCAGCTGGCTCAGATGGTCCCTGGAGAAGTTGGTTCCCCAGGCTCTGCGTCGGTACGCCTGGGCCTGCTGCCTGCGCTCCTTCACCTGGACAAACAGGTGAAACTCCTGAAAACCCAATAATCACTGACCAACATATTGATGAGTTCAACACAGACAAAATATTAGTTACTAGTTTGATGCTTTTATGACTTTTTTTCTGTGTTTTTATGATGCAAAGCACTTTGAACTGCTTTTGAAACTTGATTTTATTAATAAATAATTTGGGTTTTTAAAAATCTCAGTCAGAAAACAGGCGATGCAATAACGTTTTTCCACTGGTGAATTTTAAATAAGATCAGAAACACTGAGGCAATTTTGAGCCATAAAATATGTCTTCAAAACAGACATTTTTCCATTTATATTGGTCAAAATCTATTTATTATCTTAAAAATATTGACTTCAAAAGAGAAATAAAGAGTGGATATTCAGTTCTCTGAGAGGAATCTGGTAGTTTGAGGCGTTAATTATTCCGTCTCTGCCGTCAAACCTCAGCTGCTTCGCTCCAGTCGTGTCACTGCAGCTGAAGTCGTAGATTCTGGTAAACCCGACGCGCTGGACCCTGGATAACCTCTGACCCCGTTTGTGAAGCTAACCTCAGTCTGTCCACGGCGCAACCTCGACAGGAATCACCTGTCAGCGTTTCATCACTTCCACCCACCGGTTTGTTCGTGACGTCGGCTCAGAAAAAAAAGACTGGGTCAAAAAGACGGAGAGAAAATTGATGTGATTCATTTAGAGGATTAAAACTTTTGATGACTATATTTAAAAACACATAAAAGAGGTTACTTTACAAAAGTTTGGACTCGGTAGTTTTTATTTGAGTCTCAGCAGGTGACTCACTGCATCTGCATCGTTTCCATTTGAAAGGTAGAACTGAATAACCGGCTGACGGGTTCGGGCCGCACCCAACAAGATGGCCGCCGAAAATGTAAAAACCCCAGCGGACAGAAAAATGCCCCCTCTGCTTTCCCACCAGATCGACTCAATTAGCTCCACTTCTAAGCAAGAATATTTCATAATATTTTCCACTTTACAGTGATTTTCCTCGAGTTTTAGCTTCTTTACAAGCAGCTTCACATTTTCTCTCAGGGTTTCCTGATTCTCATAATAAGACTTTGAAATGATTGGACAACTTCACATCAGATTTTTAGAACTTTCTGAAAATTTTAAGACTTTTTTTTGGTAAAATTATGACTATATTCTCATGATTAAACAAAAAATGTCCCTTCACAATAACACATTTTGCTTTGTCCCAGAATTATCGCGATAAACGATTTTATTGTTGTTGTTTTGAGACCATTTTCAGTTAATATAATGGTAATGGCATAATAATAATGCAAGAACAGAGTATTAAATATCGATAAACTTTAAATTTAAATGAACATTTGACACTGGAACTGGAAGACTCTTTAAATATCCAAAATAAATAAAACAATAGAAACAACAAATAAAATTAATTATTCAAAAAAGAGAGATAGCTACGCCTGAAAGCTAGTTCTGGTAGAAAGAGAAAAACTATAAATGATGCAAATGGAAATTATAAAATTATTGTTTTAATTAAAAATTGGATTAATTGTCATATAGCTGAAATAAAAGCTATTTTTTGAAAATATTTTCTGTCACCCATAATATAAAAATAAATTAGAATTGAATCTATAAAAAAAAAAAATCAGATTTTGTTTTTAAACATCGCCCAGCCCTGGTTTTGCTGCACTCACCTTCCTGTTTCTGCCACCAGGTGGCGCAGCAACGATTCGTCTTGGCTTTAATTCTTCCAACTGGATCTCTGGGAACATTTTAGTTGTCGTTAAAAGTCAAATTCAGCCGAAACGCCTGGTGTTGTTTGGTTTTTTGGTCATTTTAGGGCCTGTTATTGGTGCTGCATTGATTTTTTTTCTATTTAATTACATCAGCAGATTAACAGCTGGTGGTTTGAAAACAAACCAGCAAAACACACCAGCAGCTGCAAAAACGTTTTTTTCCTGCAAAGCAAACAGATGCAGGTGCTTTTCTTAGTATTTTTGATGCCTTCAGGCGAAATCTTTGATGTTGTGTGAACGGCTGCCCCCCTCCTCAACAACATTTTCCACAGGGCTGTTGGGAACCGACCTGACTGTGAGTAACGCAGAGAAATTTCCCTGAAACGAACCACTGTGGTTTCTTCTGCTGACACTCAGCACTTTGGTTTTTCATCAGCAACACACAGAAAAACACACCCCGACCGAAACAATCCCCTAAAACACAACTTCAGTGAGATTTCCTGCTTCTCCTGCTGACAGTGAACTCACCGCAGGCGCTGGACTGTCCTGCTGCTTCAAGCCCCCTCCTCCACCTGACCTGCTTTCCTGTTCTCTCTTAAAGAGGCGGAGCTTTTATTTTCTTTATTCTGTTTGATTAAAGGCAGAAACGGTAATTTAAACTTCCTGTGCGAGTCAAACCAAAACTATCTTTCCTGCCAAAGGATGAGGAGAAAATGTTTGCTGCTTAAAACTGTGAAGAGTTCACACCGGTTTATTACCATCTTCGTTAGGAACATTTTGTTTATCACGAATGAGGTGGATCAGTTGATTAATAAAGTTCTTCCTCAACCCTAAGCTACCTCTGAACTTACAGTGAAGAAAATAATCAATAATAAGCTAATGGTAACTAGCCAGCTAGCTAAGATGGGTAAACTTAGCTAGTTAGCAGATAGTATCTGTTAGCTGTTTCCTCCCCATGCCACCTCTGGGCTTAGGGTGGAGAAAATAATCAACATTAAGCTAACGGTAACTAGCCAGCTGGCTAACAAATGTAAAGCTAGCAGGTTAACTAGCTGCTAATATAAAAAGCCAGCTAGCTTTTTTATGTCCATTATGGATAAGTACAAATTTATCGCCAGTTGGCTCACGTCTGTTGCCAACCCAACCTTAAATTCCTTTCATGATGGCCTTAAAAAGTCTTAAATGTGAAACCTGCAGAAACCCTGTAATACCACAAAGGTCTGTGGCTGAGTTTCCGTTACAAACTGTGTACAAAACTACACTAATGTGGGGGGAAATAAATGGTGTTTTCATTAAATAAGAAATGCAATAAAAGTCATGAAAATGAGTTTGTCCATTAGCGTGACGCGAAAAAATGATTCCATTGTTTTTTGCAAATACACAAAAATCCATTAAGCAAATGTATTTTAAGTTTGGTTTATCATATCTGGATTCTGGCTGAGTTGAGTTTCATCCATTTGTTTGAAGTCAAACCTGAAACACCGTCACCATGAATCAATTATTTTTACCCCAGTAACACTCACTCCCTCCCTTCAGAGATCTGGAACAAAATGGCAGCGCATTACGCATCAAGAATACGCCTCCATTGAGCTCTGCTGTAGCCGCCCACACAAGCAGTGACCAATGCTTGTGGGGGGAAGCAATGTGGGCCATTTTCATTCATCACTGCCTCTCAGCAGAGCAGCGGTGTTCCACAGAGATGGGTTTCGGACCACTTCAGATCTCCGTTTGTTTGCCATTGTGACTAAACCTAACGCAGAGTTTCCATCAGACCTCAGTTCTTACAAGTTTTAGTTAAATGAATTAACCAGTTCTGTCTGATCGTTTTATCTCCTGTGTTTCTAATCTTTGTGAATCCAAACAGCTTCAGTCTGCAACTGAGATCTCATTTTAAATCATCCGACACCTTTAGCTCCGTTACTTTAATCTCCTGTTTCTACACTTTTGTTCATAATTTCTTTAATTGAGTCGTTTCATGTTTGGACAATTATCTCCTTTGTGTCTGGAAGGATTTTTGCTCTCTCTTTTTTTATTTTTTTTTTTTTTACTTTCGGGCAGTTGTTAACACATGTAACCATGGCAACAAGGTGTTTTGTTTTTGCAGCCAAGAGAGAGAGAGAGGGAAGAATTTCAAACCATCACTTCTTTCTTTCATATTGCACAGTGATCTTATCCCCTACTCCAACATCTGTCTAACTACTTTCCAGAGATTCAAAGATGAGTAGCAAAAGCAAAGGAGGTGGAATAGCAGCTAATGATGTCATCCAGGACGTGTTACTTATGAATATTGAGCTGTCAGCATGTCAGGATACTACCATACTGCAACATTCTTCAGTCAGAGGCTTCTTCAGATTCGTTGCGAGACTGACTGCTACAGGAAACCTTAGAATTGAATTGAATTTCTAACTTCAAAGTTCAGCTGAAACTTGTAGGTGGAGTTTCGATATCGGAGGCAGCATTTGAAGTCTTTTTATAACTTTCCTCCAAGGCAGCCTCTGATGTTCAATTGTTCTCTACCAAAATGTTTTACAGTAGCGAATAAAAAGTGCTGACTGTCACAGAAAGTGAAAGGTAGTGTGATGAATGTAAATTGACCTCTGACCTGCTCAGTGAGATCGTCTGTGGTTCCGCCTCCTTTTGGGTTCCTGCAGAGAGGAGAACGAAAGCTGGACTGATACTCTGTCAACATCCTGCCAGACACACAGGAACGGTTCCACACGTCATTTCACCGGCCTGACAGAGACGCTGGAACACACTCGGCCTGGAACTCACCTGTGTCTCCTCCGCACCTGAGCGGGCAGGGGGGCCGTCGTCAGGGGCAACTGGGACCCAGTTTCCTGTTTGACAGGAAGTTCGTTACTCTGTGCATCCAAACTTTTCCTTCTGTGAGTCTGCAGGTAAAACAGGACAGCAGATTGACAGGATTAGATAGCAAAGGTCAAAGAACAGAGCTGAACAGAGTGGCTTCAAGATTTAAAAAAAAGATATTCTTTGTAAGATTTTATTTCTTTTTTTTCTGCTTGATTTCTTTTCTAAAAAAGAAATTACAGATGACAAATTTTCTAAAAATTTTAATCTTAAAGAATCAAAAATTAGATAAGATCAATTAGAAGCAAGAAAATTTCCTCTCTTACTGTGTGTGTGTGTGTGTGTGTGTGTGTGTGTGTGTGTGTGTGTGTGTGTTACCTACTCTGTATGTGTGAAACACCGGATGTCCCAGATTTCTCCGAAGGCGCGGACCGGATGGCGGAACCAGACCCTGGAAGCTCCGGCGGTACTCCGTTTCCATGGGAACGGGGATGTTCTTAAAGGGTGGGATGGACCTGCTGGTGGAGTGCAACACCTGCAAGATGGGGTCAAAGGTCAGCACCTGAACAACCACTGAGAAAACCTCCAGAGAGCTGCGATCTAATCGGTTTGGATGAGGCTGGTGCGCCGCCATCTGGTGGACAAACAGGAGAATTACAGTTATTGTTCACTGATAATCAATTGAACTCTATCAGTTTGTCTATTGTTTTTTTCTTTTTTACCCAGAATGCAATTTTAAAATGACTAACTTTTATTTGATGTTTAAGGGCAACATTTCACATAAAAACTGAATCAGAATGTGATAAATCAAACTTGCATTTAAATTACAATTTTAAAATACAACTTTATTTCATTTAGTCAGTAACAAACATCTGCCTTTATAAAAACAACTATTTCCCTACTGAATGTGTTTAAGGTTCTCTTATATGATTTTGATTCATTTTGGTGAAAAATAATTTTAAAAAATGTCTGATTTTAAAAACGCTGCCCCCTGGTGAGAATGTTTAGGTAAAACATTTGCTGCTTTTTTATCTACAAAATCTGATTGAGATAAAAAGCAGCTTCAGGAAACACATGGCAAAATGGTGACAGCAACTGAAGTTGCTTTATTACCCCATCGTGATACCTGAACTGAATTAATCTGATTAAAATCAGAATTTTGCTTTTAAATAAAGAGAAAGTTTCTGTGATGCAATAAAAGCTAATTAAAACCTCCTGAATTCAGCCATAATTTCTGTTCTACATTTAATATTTCATTATTCTACATTTTATCTAAATTCAGTTAGCTGTATTTTGTTGGACATTATTTTACATTTTATCACAATTATTTTGATATTTGTATTTCTGTGTTTACTGTTTGTAGTTTAAATTTCTAGTTTTACTAAACCGCTGAGGTCGTCATTCTGTCATAGTTTGACTGTTTTGTTTCCTTTAATAAATCAGAAATGAATCCTAATGATATTCATAATAAAATAACCACAATGCTGTGAGCTTTTTTGTGAAATTAACTGATTAATTAATATTCATTCATCCCATTCAGCTCATTCTAAGGTCTGATGGGATTAATAATCCCTCCGGTGAGATTTGGAGAACATTTGTTACTCAGCTGCTGTGGTTCTCTTTGAAAAACCTGTTCCCCTCCTCGCCTGCGGGGGCGCTGCATTAACAACCACAGAAGGAAACCAATCGAAACAGTCATTCATGTCGGTTAGCATTCATGCCTCCCCATGCTTCCTGATGGAAAACAGGAAGTCGTCGTGCTTAGACGTCTTTCTCACCTGCTCTGCTGTCAGTAATGGCGACGCTGCAGATACGGGCTTCTTCCAGCCGAACTGCCTGTGGTACTCTGACCTCTGACCCCACGCCTTGTCGACCTGCAACACAAACCAGTCACATCCTGCTGCTTCCGGTTCAGCGTTCCAGATGGTCTCACCTGGTTTCCCGGCTGCTGCTCGGGTTCTGCAGGCCCGCCGGGCTCAGAGGGGCGGAGCTTCACTGGGGACACAGAGCAGATGTGAGACCAGCGGCAATCTGGGACGACAGAACCTCAAAGTTCAGCACATTTACCGGATTTTCCATCAGCTGCTGGTCTGAATCCAGGTTCTGGTTCCGATCCAGAAACATTTGGTGGTTTAGAAACTGGAGAATCTGTGATTTAAGGCAGAGAATCATGTGAAACAGCCTCATCCAGATTATTAAGAACCTGGAAAATCCTTGAATTTGGAGAGTTCTTGGTTTTCAAACTGCACAGTTTTGTAATAAAATCTAATCTGACACTTTAATAAAAACATTTGGAAATTTGTAAACAATGTTTACAGTTGAAACCAGATCATCTGGAGTTAAATCAGATTAAACTTCTTGTTTTAGTTTAGTCAGAATTAATAAAATTATTTTTATTTGCTAAAAAACTTAGCGAGAATATTTTTTAGTGTTTTAATTTAAACATTTAATTTGAGCAGGAAGGTAATTTACTTTATCATGATTTGCTTGAATGTAATGAATATTTATTATTCCTAATTTTTCAGTGAATTATTGATCTGATCTGTTTATATGAAATAATTAAGCGTTATTGAAATTGGGGGATTTTTTTGTTAAATTTTGTGTTTGGTTCTCAGATAACTCAAAACATAAAATATTTTATTTTACCTAGAGTCCTACCACAACAGGTTATTAATAGCATTAATAAATTATATTATAGTGAAATGAAACTGTCTTTTTTAGTCAACTTGTTTTTTTATTATTATTGCCAAAGTGTGATGCAGAGAAAGTTTGAAAACTTGAAAATTAAAATTTTACTGTGGGAAAAGTTTAGAAGCAAAATTTTAGACGAATCTGAAAATCTTTTAATTTTTCTTTTAGTTTTTTCAAGCAAATTTTTGACTTAAAATGTAAAAAATGAATAATAGTAATAATGGCAAAATTTTTTTTTTTTGGGGCTTTTTGAGATTTTAAAGATGCTTTGCCAGAGGAAAAAAAAAAACAATCCCTTCTTTTCTAGAAAATTGAAGAGATTATTTCCAAAATTTCTAGAAATTTACTTTTTTTCCCCCCTTTTACTCCTTTTTATGCTTTCATAATTTTTAAGAAGAAATTGTTTAAAAAAAAAACAACAGTAAAATAATTTTGTCCAGACTGAAACGATCTTCTCCTGTTCCCCTGCAGACACTCACCTTTCCTGCCAGTAGAGGGCGTTGCTCTGCAAACTGGATCTGCTGGAGAACCAGGCAGGAAGTTACCGGACTCGGGTGGACCGGGTCTCTTCAGTCGTTGGAGACCTGGAGGTCTGCTGATCCCTGCAAACACACACAGCAGGAAGATACTGATTCTTAAAATATCTCTGTTGCTTCTAGTTGAATTTTTGTTGTTTTTATATAAAAACGTCATAAGAGGTTCTTACGGTTCTGATCAGGGCGAAGTCCAGCCAGCGGGCGGCAGCGCTGAGGCGACACACTCCTGGAGCGAGGGACACCGTAGCTCTTCTGGTATTCACTCTGACTCTGAAACAGAAACAGTTTAGCTCTGAACTATAATAAAGTAAAAATGACCAACATCTCAGACCAAAGACAAGCAAATATATCGAAGGAATTTAGTTTCTCTAAAGTTGAAATAATAAAATGAATTCATTGTCCTGGTGAAAAAGTTCTGCTAATCGAGCTCCTTGGCTTTTGCAATTGATTGTGGAAATAAGGTTGTCCTTATTTCCATACTGGAGGAAAATGACTAATTTAATCATAAATTATGTTTAAAAAATAAGTAATGATAGCAGGTATATTACACACTTAGAGTAGTCTTGAAATGAAGTATCTGGTGTTGACCTGTTTGTACTTATTTAATTTCCCTTTGGGATCAATTCAAATTCAAAAATGTCTCAGTTTAAATTTTAATGGGGGGCCCAAAATAAAAATCCGCCTAGGGCCCCAAAAAGGTTCGGACCGGCCCTGTTCGGACTGTTAGACTACAAACTTAAACAGGCGACCTCTGTCCCTGTAAAAATCAGTTCAGATTAGAATAAAGTACAGTGAAGTCAACATTTAACTTTCCAAAATGGTCTAGACGGGTAAAAAAAAAAAAAAATTAATCAGAGGGAATCCAAACCTGATAAACTGGATTATCATAACAGATTAAAACCTTATTGATCCCGTTTCTGCTGAACTGTAAACCGAAACGACGCTTCACGACATCTCAACCTTAATATAATGCATTTTATTATTTCACAGCAGTCTTTAATCTGATTCCCAGCAGGTTTTAATCGTGATTAGCAGCAGCTGCGACAGCTAGCATCAATCTGTTTACATCACCTGTTGTTTACCTTGAAGCGGACCGTCATGGCGCTCCTGCTTGTTGAGGTAACACCGGGAAAAGTCGCTCCCCCGAAACAAAACCCCAAACTTCGCGTCCTAACGGGCCCTTTTAGTTCGGTTTACCGCTGATTCACCCGGAGCTACGAGCTACCTTCAAGCGTCAAGCTATAGGTGTTGTGTCGAGCTGTGTTACCCTCTCGATAATCACTTCCCTAACATTTGCGTCTCTACACTTAGAGCTACGGCCGCGGTTGATAATATGGTGCATTCAAGTCAAATCGTACATTAGAAAATCTATACTGAAATGACTCTAAAATGAATAAATGTATTTTATTACTATCAGATAGCACTGAGGTGTTAATCAATATTTTATATATATAAAAAACATCATCTGTGATTATTTTTCAAATGTTCCATGTTGTGCGTTTTGTTGTTAAACAATAATGATTTCATTATATTTTTCAAATATTTTTAGTTGTGAAATGTAAAGAAATTACTGTTTTTTTTTTTCCCATTGTTTGGCCAGATTTAACTTTTTACTTTTATTATGACCATTGTAGAAAAAAAAAATCTGCCAAAAAACTCAGAAATTTTTAGATTAATCTCAAAACTTCTCTAAAAGGGGGAAAAAACTTAGTTTCAAATTTTTGACTTTTGAAATTCAGAAATGTCTGAGATTAACCTCAAAATGTCTGAGTTTTTCCTAGCAAAATTGTAACTTTTCATATTCAGAAATGTTTTTTTTTTCCTGTGATTATTCTCAAAATCTCAAAATTCTTGGCTGAAATTTACTCATTCTTTTCTGTCTACAACAACCCAATTACGCCGTCATAACCCTTTAATAAAAACTTACAATAAAATTAAATTACGGTATTGATGTGTAGATTCATCTTAATGTAGATGTTCCAATGTACGAGGTGTACTTGAATGCACCGTGAGATCACCCTTAACCGTAAAGGACAGTGTAGAATCGCAAAATCGGAACAGCCGGACAGACCAAGTGGGAAATCACATCTTTATGGTGGAACTTTTCCCGACTCAACACCGGCGTTGCCATGGCAGCGAGACGTTACGCGGAAGCGCGTTATGACGTCGTTTTCCTTTTTTTTCTTCCCCCATCCCATCAAATTTAATCATTTTGTAATTAATGAGAATTCAGGAAACTCATGGACTCTGAGGGGCTAAATACAGATTTTTATTTTTAAAACCTTTGGAGAATTATGCATCCTTTTCTTACCACCTAGTATATTATTTTGTCAACTTGTCCCCAATAAAAATCAGAGTTTATAGGATAATATGAAACTTTGAAATACATCCTTATCCATCAATAAGAGGAATAACCGACCAACACGTGTTTCTGTTACAAAATTGCACCAGTTTTATTCATTTAAGGCTTCTTAGTTTTGTTTTGTTTTTACATTTGGCTTCGCCCCCCTCCACTCTGCTGCCTCTCCTGCTGCTGCGGGTTTCTGGAACGAAGAAACCAGTTCAGACGACCTCCATACCAGGTCTAGCCCGGCGCCTCACTGGCTGAACTGGTTTCTTTTACATTTCACTGGTCACTGTGCCATACAGTGTAAAAATAAAAAAAAAGGCGTTATTTCAATCATGGGGAACTTTTTCCACTTTGCATTTAGCTGCAGTTGCAATTATCACTTCAGCGTAAAGTTGGGAGTTTTAGGGGATTCCAACAATTTAAATTAAATGAAATTAAATGGTTCATAAAACACTGTAATGTGGGTGTAAGCAGATAAAAGGACAGGAGAAGTTTATTATTGCACACCATTTGAACTTTTGTTACATTTCCTTTGAAAGCATCACACAAACATATCTGCTTATAGCTACATCACAAAGTTTTATTCCATTTATTACATTTTTTTTTTTTACAAACCCCACAACTGAAAAATGCTAATTATTAGTACAACTACTACTGTTAAGGCCTCAATATTCTTTAAAACAAAGAGATTTCCAAACTGACATCCAGAATCTGAGTTTGGCAAATGACGAAAGCCCCTGCAGCCCGATGTTTGGAGGCCGGAAAGGTCCGCCTGCAGCCGCGGCTCCCACAAAACACACCAACTAACTGAAACATCCGAGGAAATCAGTGTAAAAGTAGCTGCAAAGAGGTAAAAGGACATTCATAGGCATTTATAAAACATTCTTAGAAAGCTGGGGAAATTAAATTATCAAGCACTGAAAAAACGAGACATTAATGCGTTAGATTCTGTTTAAGCACGCTGACGCCCCCTGCTGGCAGAAACATAGCGGTCCGATCACTGCGGCTGCAAACAGACCCTCCGTCTCTTCTGACCGGCATGCAAACGTCACAGCATCTCCTGGAGGTCAGACCGAGTACTTACTGAACATCAACATGCTACATGACTGAACGTACTGGAGGAGAAGCAGAATACTGGCAGCAGTACCGCGCCGTACCACAGTACAACACCGCAGCAGAACTCACAGAGGTCCGACGTACTGGTTCTGTAACGCCACCACACTCATTAAAAACAAAAATAATCCGCTGATCACCAACTTTGTGCAGCTCCACAGGCTAAATCCTCACCTGGGGAATGAATTTTAAACCCAAACTACAAATACTTTTTCTGTTTTCTGTAACTCCATCTCAGTTATTTTTCCCAAATAAATATTCTGGACCAGTGTGAGTCTGCTGTCTGAAGGCAACATGTTCGCCCATCACTGCAGGTTCTCACTGAGCTCACTGTGCTGCTAACACGTTCGCTAACTCACTAGCTTCGCCCTTTCATCAAAGTTGTCTCTTCCTCAACTGATATTTATCCACAGGTTTACAGCAACGTACAAATATTTATTACTCAAAAAAAGAAAAGCTTTCAAAAATAAACACAGAACGGTTACAAATGCTAACTTACTAGCAACTAATTTTAGAATTAGCTTCAACTACAGGCACTTCAAGCTAACAGCTAAAGCTAGTATTACTTTAACTAATAGTTTCGTTGGTAGTATATCCTTTTACCTATAACCTAACCTACAAGAGCCTAAAGTTAATTAAAGCTAGTATTAGCATTAATGCTAACATTAGCTATTGGCTTTAAGTGGCAGTAGCTAGTAGCTTTAGCAACTAGAGCTTAAAAGTTATCATTAAGTAGCTTCAAGAGCGTAATGTTAGTAATTAAAGCTAGTATTAGCACTAATGATAACATTAGCAATTAGCTTTAAGTGGCAGTAGGTAGTAACTTTAGCAACAAGAGCTTAAAAGTTATGTAGCTTCAAGAGCTTAAAGATAATTTCGCATTAATTTAGCTAAAAGCTAAAGGTAGCACTAATGTTGTAGGCTAGCCAGGTAGCATTTAATTTTGTTTTATTTTATGAAGCTAATACCTCCAAATAGTGGACCATTAGTGTTTATAGATATTAATTATTTTATATATTATAATTATTCTTAAAATTACAGTACATTGAATTAGAAGAATGCTGTTAGCATACCTTCTAGCTAAATCAATTATTTCTTTGGAATAATGCTAAAGCTAAGATGCCATCAAAAACAAAAAATCTGAATTCACCAACAAATCTTCCATAATTCACACATTTTCCTATTTCTCTTTTCAGTTTCCAATAAATCCCAGTAGAACCATAAATGACAGCTGATCTACTTCGAGACATTTACTTTAAGTTTATAAATTTATTTATTTTTGTTGATATTGACGTTTGTCCTGTGTGGAACATGATTCACTCTGAAAATTTCCTCAGCTTTATTGAAACCTGGATTTTAAACTGCTGCTAACTTTTAGTTTTGAACTGAACCGGTTTGAACTTTAGCAACACAGTGAGCTGACCTTTGACCTGCTGCACACAGTTAGCCCCGCCCACCCGGAAATTAGAACTAAAAAACATCAACGGACTTAAATTTTTTTTTCTTTTTCTTTTTACACAGAATTATAATAATAATAAGCACTGCCATAATTATAATAATAATAATAACCACTGTAAGGGTCCACAGGTTTAACCAGAGTGGTACACACAGACAGCCGTCACCGTGGCAACCGCAGTGCCAAGATGGCTGACGGTCAAACTGCATGCGGTTGAATTTGAAAAAAAAAATAAAAAAATGCTGGAAAACAAAAAGTGAAAGAAAAATAAATGATAAGGAACAAAAAAATAAAAATAAAAACAGTTGTAGGCGGCTCCCCCAGCCCGGAGCAGAGCCTCAGCAGAGAGCATGATGGGAACTGGAGTTTTAATCTGGGAAGTTTTTTGGAAAAGCCCGCCCTCCTCCATCACCGTCATCATCATCAGATTTTTTTTGAGGGATTTTTTAATGTTTCCAAGGCAACAGTCTCCGCTGAGGGGATGGGACATGGTCGTCACGGTAACAGAGGGTTTAGCTGATATCGATGATGCCGTGGTTGTGTTAAAGAGGCGTGGCCAGCTGGAAGATGCTCTGTGATTGGTTGGCTTGAAGGTTGTCGGTCAAGTCGGAACTAAAAGACAGTAAAAGAGACAGAATGTAAACAGGAAGTGACAGATGAACATTTAAATATCAAACTAATGTTAATATTACAAATCTTTGGGTATTAATGTTTAATTAATTAGTTGATTATTTCAATAATCGATTAATTGTGATCGATACAAATAAATTATTTCTGAAATAAATATAAAGTTAATAAATTCCACTCTAAAACGGTCAACAAAATTCACAAAAATGAGTCTGAACAGGATAGAAATGTTTCTTTAAAATATTTAATTACAGCCAACAATGAAAATTTTAGCTGAAATTTGTAAATACAGTTACATATTATATATATTTAGTGTCAAAACATTTCAAACCAGGCAGAAACAAACTCCTAGGCTTCGTCTTTGTTTCTCTTCTTTGCCATTTTAATTCAGTTATCCTGCAAACGAAGAGCTGCTAAGTTTAAACCATGGGGGGCTTTAACTAGGACAGTTAGAAAATTGAAAACGATGAGAGGCAAATTGACTTCCTGCCGGGTTAATAAATGAAAACAGCTTTTTTCCTTCCCGTTGATTGGCACTAAAAGCTGTTTGGTCTGAAACATTTTGGCGTGGAAAGCGTTTCTGACTCACCTGTCATTAGAGAAGTTGGCAGATGGACTTTTTGCGAGTATTTCCTGTAACGGGAGTCTTCCTGTTGATCTGCCGAACGAGGTCGTAGAAGATCTGCGGAAACAAACGTCGCGTTGTCGGTTTCTGGAGGGCGAAGACGCCGTTTGGTTTTTGGTAAAGGTGCGCTCAC